CACCAGTTGCCACCTTAGGCTAAAGGACCCGAAATGCTTGTTTAAACTAAAAATAAACCAAAACAGGTTTGTTGGTTTGGCTTTTTTTAAATAATTCCTTATCTCCAGGAGAACTGGGAGGCTGTAGTGACTGCAGCGATGCTGGTCAGAGCCTGGGAGCTGGCAGGTTCATCCAGGCGTCTCCTAAAGGGAGCAGAGCTCCGGCCGGGGAGGGTGCGTGACCGTCCCGGGGCGCCCGCGGCCGTGCCCAGCTCCTGGGGTTTGCTCTTCGCTGCAGCCACTCATTTCAGGAGAAGACCGTGGAGACAGCCACCTCTGCAGTCCCTGTGTCCCGACCAGGGTAGAGCTGAAGTCCGAGCCGTGGGGGATGTGAGGTGAAACCTTCCTGGGCCCCTGAGGACAGGAGATCCTTTAAATCCACCGGGCCGAGCTGGGGGAAGGCGCTGCGGCCGTGGGCGGAGTGGAGATGGGGCATTAATGTATTTGAGAGCTGGATTTTGCAGCGCCCGGTACCCCAGCGTGAGCCCAGCTTTTCAGCATAGCTCTGCACCTGCTTTTCTCTGCTCTTCTAAAAATCCAGTCGTTTTGTTCCGGTGTCCCGAGAGCCGAGTTTCCCTGAAAATCTGCCGATGACCTGTTGAGCGCTGTCGGGAAGTCCAGCTCCTCTGCTTCCCCGAGGAGCGGCACGGGGGCAGGTTTCGTGTGCAGGCGCCCAGGTGGCCTGGCTGGAAAAGCAAGCGCGAGGGGCTGAGTCTATGCCTTTTAAAAAACAAAAGCAGAAACAAAACAAAACCAACACACCCATAAAACGGTGGCTGATAGGTAAGATGCACTCTGTATAGCAATAAGAAATACTTGCCTGCATAGACGGTGTCCTGGGGCTGCCGCAGCGGCCGTACCGGTAAGGGCTGATGGATGAGACCGTGGCTGGTGTGGGGAGGGTCCTCGCTGAGCCGGGGATGCCCGGGGAATGCGGAAATCCCGTTCTAGCTTCACGTGGCCTTTCCTCTAAACCGGGAAGGGGTGGCAAAGGGGGGGTGCCCACCTGGGTTAATTAATTTAGTGCAATGACATAGGGGAGCCTTTTTTCTCATGATGCCTACTGCCCTTAAATGTTGAAACCGGGTCTTTGTAAGCAATGTCTGTGTATCTATGTGTATATATGAGGGACAAATTTTAAATTACTGCCTTTTTTCCCTGTTTATTTTTCTGAGTAATTCCAGATGTACTTTAGTCTCTCTACTGTCAAAACTTTTATATTGTAAATCTGATGCTGGTGGCTTTTGGTTATTTTGGTTTTTGTTTTTGTAAAAAAGAAAAAAAAAAAGAAAAAAAGAAAAAAGAAAAAGAAAAAAAAAAGTCTGCATCTCTCTATGTTGTCAGTTTTAGGCTGTAAATTCCAACTATCAATAAAAGCTCAAAATTCACGTGCCAGTGGTGGATTCCTCCATCCTGCAGGACACGCTCAGCCTCTGCCGTGCTGCATCCCACCCTCTGCTCGCGTGAGCTGGACAGCTTCGCTCTCCAGCTTCGGCCTGACCGCCCCACGCAGGCAGGGGGTGAGTGGAGGCAGCATTTGGGATGGTGCCTGCAGAAACCCACAGGTTTCTTCCGCCCGCACACCCGGGAGGGCTGCTGGACCTGCGGCGGGAGGGCGGAGGAGGAGCTCGGGTGGCTTCCTGCAGCCCCTGGCGAAAGCGGAGCCTGGGGTCGCTGGTTTTCAAGTCATCTGTTGCTGTCAAAGGGAAGGGAAGGTAAAAGCGGCGTTCTCGCCTGCGCTGTCTCGCGGGAGGGTTGGTAAAGCAACACCACTGCTGTACGGCAAATGCAGCTTTGCTCTTCCAAATGCACCGCTCGCCTCCGGAGCACGAGTGCTGTGATCCCCGTGGGGAGCGGTGCTGTGGCAGGGTTGCTGACCCTGGACGAAACCCCTGGTGCCCGTGGGCTGTAATGGCTGCCCGGCTAATGGGAGAGTTGCTGAAGCGACCGATGTTCTCCTTGCCACCCGGGATGGTGCTTTCATTTACCCCGGTTTAGTCTTCAGCAAGGCCTGGCGTGCAAACCACAGGCAGCGACCAGGGTGCCTCGGCCTTTAGCAGCTTTGCCAGCTGTTTGCCTCTGTACGTGGCTGGTCCCCTTTTGTTGAATCGTGTTAGCTGCAGTGTAAGAAAATCTCAGTCCCGTGGCATCTCGTGCCAAAATCCTTAAGTCTTCACCCTGAAGAAAGGTGCTACTTTTGCAGCTCAAGGCTGTGACAGCAGCCAGAACTGACGTGGGGCAGGGCTGGCCTCCTGCGCTTCTCCAGCTGTGGGCAGGCCTGATGGCACCACCCTGTTGGCATCCTCTCGGCTTGTCCTGCGTTGACCACATTTCAGGGCTTTGTGAGGAGGTTGAGGCATGGAGCCTCCTCTTGTGCCCTGTAGTTTTCCAGGGGGTCCCTGTCTTGGTGGCTGCAGCCAGGAGCAGGTTTGAGAGCTGCATGAAGTGACTTTTCCTGTATTTAATGAAGCATTTAGGTTGGCTGTTTGAGGGGAACCAGTTGCAGGCTTGGTACCCTGTGCCTCCTGTGCCGGTCCCTCAGAGTGTCCAGTGCCCCCCAGCACTGGCCAGTGACAGGGGGGTGGGGGGAAGTGCAAAAGCGCAACGGTGGGGTTGGGTTCCTTTCCAGCTTTCCTTTAGCACTGTTTCCATCCCCTGCTGCAGAGCAAGGCAGTTCTCAGCGTGCGTCAGATCAGCAGCTCCATGCAGCTGCCCTGCAGATCCCGTCCCTGCGTCGTCGTGGTGCTGCTGGTCTCTGGGAACAGCAGTTTGCTCAGCAGGGACACGCAGGGTGGGATGGAGCTGGGTCAAGGGGCCACCCTCTGTGGTGCAGCCTGAGGCATAACCCCCCCATTTTCCCAGGGAAGAGGTTTGGCTGCCAGACTGGAGCCCAGGCAGGGACTAACGCACCTGGGCAAACCAGGACAGCTGAGCCTTGGTGACACTGGGCCCGTCAAACCAGAGTTCCCTGGAGAAGAGTAAAACTTGACAGGACAAGCAAGAGCAGGTAGGGCAGCGCGGCCTCACAGCGCAGGAGAAAGGTCCTTGTTTGCCATGGGCAGTGCAGGGACCGGTGCAGACTCCGCTCAGGCACGTTCCCGGTGCTGTGTCAGCATCTCTCCCTGAGGCTCCTTCCCTACGAAGCTGGGGACGGCCCAGTCCCCTTGGGACTAAACCATGTCCTGTGGTTCCCGCAGTGCACCGAATCCCCGTGGGGCTAAACCATGTGCTGTGGTTCCCGCGGGGCCCCGGGGGGGGGGGGGGGCAGCTGATACCAGTGGCAGTGAGGCGAAAGGGCATGTGTCATATTAATTTTTTTTATTAAATTCAGTTAGTTTTCTCTTTATATAATAACCTTTTTCCTCTAGGCACAATACAATACAAGGACTCTGTATGTTTGACACAATGTACAGAAACTTCAATAATCTACAACTGCTCAGGTAAGTTACAAAAAAAACCTCCATGTTACACCAGCTACCTGCCACAGCCATTATTGTACAATAAAACAAAGAGGGGAACCTGGGGGTTAAGACTGTACAAAGATTTCTGCACTGAAATAAAACATTGTACGCCTTTAAAAACAAGACAGGTAGAAGAGCTGGCCGAGCTTGCAGGGAGGTGTGAGGGTTGGGCCCCAGCCAGCGCAGTGGCTCTGCCAGGCAGGGAGGGCTGCGGAGGCCGGTTCCCATCCAGCAGCTGGATGGCAGCGGGTCCTAAGCGACCTCGCAATGCCTCTTTGGGCTTCCTGGCAAACAACCCTCAGGTGGAGCGGGGCCAAACCCCACCCCCTCCCCATTCACACCAGTGCAGGGGATGGATGAGGTGCTGCGGGATCCGTTTCTGTACCGAATTTTCCCCCCCTTGCACTGACACTGTGACAGCCGCAAGCAGGGAGGTGACAGCAACAAGCAGGGAGGTGGCAGCTGGCGGTGGGATGCGCAGGCCCCAGCAGCGCTGCGCTGCTGCAGGGCAAACCTGCCCTCCTGCTGGGCCGAGGGCTCCTGCCGAGACCCCTCTGCCCGCAGGCTCAGCCTGACAGCGCCGGCAGAGCACAAGCACATGGGACAGGGGGCTCGGGGAAGGGAAGAGCCCCGAGGCGATGGGGAGAAGAGGGCAGTGCTGTGCCGTGCCCTCCGAGGTGCTGCCCCCTCCTTCCCGCAGGAGGGCTCAGGGGGGTGACCTGTGCAAAGAAAGAGACCGGGTGGCACCTGCCAGCCCCGCTGTGCCCAGCCCTGGCATCGCTGCCGGTGGGGACCCTTGGCCACAGAGGGTGGACCCCTCGGTCGCAGGGGCTGGGCTGGTCCTCTCCCCATGCAAGGCAACTGCGTGTGCTGAGCGGGGACAGAGGGGACCGCAGCAGGGCGCCAAGGAGGCTGCAGCATGTCGTGCCTCCCCCCCCCCCCCCCCCCCCGCCCCGCCAGCAAGCCTGACCATGGAGGTAGAGACTGTGCCCCAGCAGGACAGGGAGCCCCTTTGTCACAGCCTAAGCAGGCACCTGCCTGCTGGGAACAGAGTGGCCACATCCACGTCCCCTCCTGAGACACAGAGCCCGGTGCCTGCAGCTACAACCACCAACGTCCCCGGGCAGACAGTCGCCGTGCT